ACGGGCGGCCCCGCAGCGGGGCGGCTGGCAGGTATCTCATCCTGCACCTCACCACAGACCACAGCCCCGGGCTGGGACCTCCACCGCCAGCTGAGAGACAGCCAAGAAGCAAGTGAGGCAGCACACCAGGGCTGGTGGGATTGCAGCTGTGGGGAGAGGAGGATGCTAAATTCCTGGGAACATAAAGGTCATCATCTAGGGCTGCTCTGCTGAATTCTGGCTTCAAATACTCAAAGGCTTCCCCTGTTTCTCCAACCCTTTTGTTACCAATCTGCAGGCAGGCATGGCCTTCCTCCAGCATGTTCCTCCTTGCTTGTCCAAGCCATGGGCTTTCACAGGTCAGGGCGCACACACACTGACTCTGGCAAAGACCCTTTGGTGCAACTGAGAAGTGAAAGGCAAGAATAAACTTCACCACAAGTTGCATGTCTCATCTCTCTTGGAAAGAGCAATTAAGCCATCAGCAATCAGCAGATTCAGGCTCCCTGGCCCTTAGCCGTGTGCCAAGCAACCTCACTGGAAAAATTAATTTCTGTCACTTTGCTAATGGTCTTTTTCTGCCTGAGCAAAAGGAGAGCCATTAAAAAGCCCTCAGTGCATAAAGATGGGGACGATGTGTCTGGCGGGATAACCCAGCGATTAGTGCTGTTGCCAGCATCACGCACTACACTGGCGTGTCCTGAAGGAGGCTGATGTGTAAATCTCCAAAACAGCTGCCAGTATGAACTGTGAGACATCCCAGACACCAGAGTGGACAGCAAAGCAGTGCAGAACTGTCCAGGGGAATCCTCAGCAGGGGGAAAAGAGGTGAGGAGAGCCTGGAAAATATCTATGTGCCACGTGCCAAAGGCAGACAGGTCTATGCCCAACAAAGTAAAGCAGCTTTGCTCCGGAGTGATGCTTTTAGAAGACATTAAATGGCTTAAATGTCAGCCAAGAGAGGGGAAAAAAAAGCCTGTGCTCTTTCTAGGCTGTGGGAAAAGGCTGTATGCCCATCCCATTTGCAGTGCCACCTCTGTGCAACACCCTGCTAGAAGACACAGGCAGGGCCAGGATCTACTGCAGCTTAACAGCAAAGATGATAAAGTGAAGTTGGAGAAAAGGGAATTTGGATGGACAGCAAGGAATTCCTGAGGCTGAGAAATTTTAAGAAAGAAAAAAAGGAAAATTTTCTAATCTCAGCTGCAAAAATGCTGTCTGCAAAGTGAGACAAAGCAGAGCAGGAATTAGCTCCTCCAGAAGATCCTGTGAAAGGCCTGGCTCTCGGCTTGTTTGAAGCTGACCTAACAAAAGACTTCAATTTCTTAAGGAGTTTATGGCACAAATCAAGGCTGCACCTGCAAGAATGACTCAAGGCAGCACTGGGATTAAGGTAGGAGCAGGCAGGGGGGCCAGGAGGGATTACAGATCCTGTTATACATCCTGCACACACAGCAGAGCAGCAGGAGAGCCCCAGGGCCCCTTCCTTACAGCCCTGAGCACAGCTAGCACCTGGCAAGTGGCCCTGGCCACCGGCTGAGACATTCCCAGTGATTGCTACAAGCAGATCCTTTCCTCCAGGCTGGAGCTGGTCCCAGGGAAAAGCAGTGATACTGGGGTCTTACGTGCAGTCGGGGTGAAGGACACTGGCCGGGGACCACCGGGGTTCACAGGGGGCAGTGGTGGCATGTTGGAAGGAGAGGACCTGGACTGTATCTTCACTTCCACGGGCGATCCGGGCATCACTGGCACCCTCTTCTCACCAGCAACTGTATGAAGAGAAGGTGGCAACACTTAGTGACAGTCACAGACAAGCATTTCCCTGCCCAGCACACGAACTACAGAGAGAGGGAAGGGTGAAGACTAGGGGTGGGAGGAGAAGACACAAGGCTCCCCCACTGCTCCGCATGGCCATGAGCTGCCATGGTGAAGAGGAAGGGTAAGGCCCTGAGCTGCAGCAGGTGTCCCGACGTGCTGCTGGGCAGGCTCAAGATGCCCACATTCACCACCCCAGCTTCTCAAGCACATCTCCTCACTGTGCCCAAAGATGCTGTCTAAGTATTTCTGCCCCCCTGCTGAAGATGCTCAGGCTGCCCACACACCTGGCATTTACTGAGGTTTCACCTCCAGCCCTACTCCCCAGTCAACAATCACTTTGTTAATCAGCTCTCTGGCCAGCTTTGCACGTTTGCTCTTTTAAAAGACTCACAAATGAAATGTTCCTGCACCAGGGAAGTTCCTTGCTGCCCAGCACCACCTCCCCGTGGCTGCTTGCATACATGCCATACGTGCCACATCCACACGCCTGGCCCTGACACAGCTTCTCCAGAGGAACTGCCAGCTTGGAGCCATGCAACAGGCAACCCTGTGTTTGGGTGGCTGCTGCTCTGCTGCTCAGGCAGCATCAGCACAACGCTGGCCGTGGCTGTGCAGGTAAGTGGCCAAAATGGTCACAGTGTTGTAAAAATGAGCTGCCATCAGCTGTTCACACCCCTTCTCCTGTGTGGAGTCTCTAGAGCCTAGCAGCAGCAGCTTACAACACAGCTTCCTTTTCAGCCTCCCAGAGTCCCTCCTGAGAACCCAAGCTCTGGTGGAAGGTCTCAGCTCAACCCAACAGTGTGGCCATGCTCCTGCCTCCCATGGCTGAAATCAGCCCCAAAAGGCATGCTTGGGGGAAACGAGAAGGGAATGGGGAAATATGGGCTTCTGCAGGCCTTAGGGCGTTGGGGGGTGGGATTTTTCTGCCGGGTTTGGTCTGGGGTTTTTTGTTTTCTTTAAAACCAGACAGCTCAGCAGACAAAGCCTAAGCACCTCAAACAGCACATCTCCCATGGGGTGCCCTATGTCTCTCTGCCAGCAACTTCAGTGCCCAGCTGGCTGTGGAGCTCAAAGCCCTGGGTGATGTGACAGACCCAGAACGCAGCCAGCACTCCCCACTCGATTCCCCTGCCGTGACCACGCTCCAGCACGTCCCTGTGAGGGGGACAGGGAGCTGCAGAGGCTCCTGTCTCACCTCGCTCTGGTGAAACTTCCCAGGGAATTTTCTCAGGCTGATGTTGGCTTTTGGCAGGCACAGCAAGAGTGCCAGTTTGGGTGAGGGAGCTCACGAACGACTGAGCAGCAGCTGGAGGGGTCACGGCCAAAGAACAACACGTGCACAAGGGTTCTGGGCTGCCCAGGATCAGTCCCAGTGCTGCTTTAAGCCACCAAGGAAAGGTGTTCAAAGCACATGCTGTAATCTAACCAAATTATGTTACAATCCACTTTGTAATCCGCAGTTTTTACAAATCTCTATTAACTGTCAGAAATTCAGTGTTCAAGTTCTGGCAAAGCAATTAAAAGCTGTATTCCCATAGAGCAAAGAGGCACTGAATGGATGGCAAAGATTTGCCCTGAAATACAACCACAAAACCTGCTGCTTTGCAACCACTGACAACAGAAATGCTGCTTTCAAGAGCAGAGAAGATTCAAACTGGCCCCCAAGTCCCTCACACCACTGGGCTGGAATCTGCTCCACAAGCCTCCAGCAACTGCTCTTGGTTTTGGGTTGGATTTTTTAAATTTTTGTATTTTTTTTCTTTTCTGCTTGCAGGATGATTTGTGGAAGGGAGAACAGAGGTGAACACATGCTGAAAGCCCATGTTTTTCTCACATTTCAGTGCAGCTTTAATAACTGAGGTGGTAGGGCTGGAACCACTATAAAATCTATGTCCATAAAACTTCTGTGGCAGAGTTTGGGTCTGCACTGATTTAAACTTGCTTTCAAAAAAAAAAAAGTCTAGGCTTTGCTTTCATGAACAAAGTGGGGACCTACCAAGCATGCTATTGATTTTAACATATAGTAACCATATTAATTTGGTCTAACTTTCCTGTGATTTAATACTGATGCACAGACTCCCTGTCACAGCCACGTATGCATGGGAAGCCCAGATGAATGCCAACGTGCTGCTGCAGGACCAGGACATCACTCATGCACTCTACTATTCCAGTAGGTGAGTGTTGGTAAGAGCAGGAGGAGACAAACCACTGACTTTCCTCCAACTCAAAGGCAGCAAGAGCTGTCGAAGAGCAGGGTTTATGCATGAAGTTAGGGGCATTTCTAGGAAAAACAAACAAAAAAAAAAAATCAGTCTTCCCTCACCCAGGCAGGGAAAGGAAATGTTGCTAAACGACCCAAAATCAGGCCACCACTACTCGTGACCGTCCACCACTCGGTGCCAGCGGGTGATGGTCATCAGGGGACAGGAACGTGTCTGCTCAGAATACAGGAATGATTGCAAGACCATGAGCTAATGGGAGAACCACAGCCTGTCTGCACATCGCCCATGGACAGACGTGAGGTGTGCTTCGTGCTCTTCTCTGCAACCTCTGCCCACCTCTCTGCCTGCCCAGCTGCAGGCATGCCAAGAAGAGCATGAAACCAACCCGTAAAGTTTCTCCTTTTTCCTCCTAAAATGCTTCTAGGGCACATTAAGAAAGCAGAACTAATTTTGTTAATTTAGGGGAGGAGGGAAGGGGGGTGTGTGCGGAATTCACGTGGAATTTATGACCCCAAAATAAAACCAGCTACTGACTGGCTACTGCATGAGACACCAAAAAAGCCCACGAGAAGCCAACACCTTGTTTTCCAAGCTCACTCCCACAGACAAGCAGCAAAACAGGATTGTTAAATTTAAAAGCTTCCTGCTAATGACCTGGGGCATCTATAAATGCAGATAAAAAACAAAACTCATTTTTAGGCTAAATACATCCAATTAATGAGAATGATGTGAGCAAACCAGATTGTGAACGAGGGCTTAAGTCAGCCTTGAATTGACCTGGGGCTAAGAATGAGCCAGGGAGATGGTCCCTGGAGAAACATTGCCTTCCTGCTCTTTTGCTTCCACATTTCACTGTTCAGAAATATTTGCTGGCTCACCAACGGCAACATTTTAGTGCTGTCTTAAGAGAGGATGCCAAGATGTTCCCCAGAATGCCTGCAAGACACATCCCCGTATGGAAATCATGCCTAAGAGTCAAATGCTGTAATAGATTTTTTGATGCTGCTCTAACAAGAGTCATTCTTGCTCATGGCAGAATGCTCCAGGTGTCAGAGCAGGACACCTGCCTGAACTGGAAACACTGGGTGTCTTTCCTTTAAAAACTCCCTCTTTCAAACCCTACCTGGAATTGGGAAACTTTACAAACTCTGCAGTGACACGTGCTCAGCTCTGCACCCTGGACCTGCAGAAGGTCAGCAGGGTGACCCAGCGACATGGCCACCCAGCCCAGGGGGAGAGCCCTGCCCAGCCTTGGACATGCTGCAGTTTCACATGGCAAGGCAATTCACTGAGAGGACAATGAAATCATATCATGGAGATGCTGTTTTAGTCTTGGCTTGATGCAAGAATTTCATCTTCTCCAAAAGCCAATGAAGCCTGCAGACCAGATTTCACAGCGACTGGAGTTACAGACTTCAGATGGCACAGAGCTGCTGTCTGGGTACAGACAGCTGTAGGCACAGAGCAGCTCATGCTGCGTGCCCTATATATTTGCATGTCCCATTTAAGGAGCCCAGGTGTGGAAGAGACTAGAAAGCCCCAGAGCTTTGACTACACCTGAAACCCCTTATCCCTCTGCTCTCCAGTGACATGCTGCAGGGCCCCAGATTTGGGTCTCCACGCTGACTGTTGGTTCTTGTTTCTTTTGCTGCTCCAGTTCTCATCCTGGCATAACAGATTAAAAAGCAGCATATGTTAAGATGAACTGCAGCTGATGATTTTCCTTTCTGGAGAGGATAAAGAGCTAAATGAGACAATGGGGACAGCATGTCAGCAGAAAACCTTGGGTCTCCAGTGGCACTCGGGGAAGTGCCACTCCTGTGCTCCTGGGGAACCATGTCTCCAGCTCTCCCACACAGCAGCACATTTTAGAGGGGGCAGTTTCAACGCCCGCTCGAGACAGATTTCATCATATTTATTTTCTTCAATGAAATCTTCCACCTATGGTGTTTACTACAAAGAGTGTTGCTGTGACAGGTACCCTCTGACGAATGGTCAGCATTAACTCCCACTGTAAACTTCATAAAGAAACTGCTTTATTAATGTCCTCATGCCTCTGGGTTTGAGAAAAGGGAAAAGGCACAAGAAGAAAAAAAATTCACAGAATCATTAAGGTTGGACAAGACCCCCGAGATCAAGTCCAACTGTCAACCCCACACTACCATGACCACTAAACCATGTCCCGAAGTATCACATCCACATGTTTTTTTGAAACCCTCCAGGGCAACTCCACCACCTCCCTGGGCAGCCTGGGCCAAGGCCTCACCACTTTTTCAGGAAATAAATTCTTCCTAATATCCAGCTGAAACCTCCCCGGGCACAACTTCAGCCCATTTCCTCTCGTCCCATCATGAGTTACTTGGGAGAAGAGACCAACACCCACCTCACTCCAGCCTCCCTTCACGGAGTTGTAGAGAGCAATAAGGCCTCCTCTCAGCCTCCTCTTCTCCAGACCAAACAATCCCAGCTCCCTCATCTCAATATACTGGAACTTAAATTAACCCTTAAATGCCATTGGCAACTAGAGAATAACTGAAGTGATGATAAAGAAATAAAAACACTGCATGAAGAAAAATGGATGTTACCTTCCCCAAAAAAGCAAGATAAGGAACCAGAAGAGAGCCAGGACTAACCCTGGGGGGCAGACAGACACGAATGGTTTCCTCCCAGTCCACTTCCTGAAGTTCAAGATAGTTCTGACGGACAGGAGAAAAGTATCAGGA